GGCATGGGGAGAGGGAGACATGGGGGAGAGGGAGGCATGGGGGAGAGGGAGGCATGGGGGAGAGGGAGACATGGGGAGAGGGAGGCATGGGGGAGAGGGAGGCATGGGGGAGAGGGAGACATGGGGGAGAGGGAGGCATGGGGGAGAGGGAGGCATGGGGGAGAGGGAGGCATGGGGGAGAGGGAGTGGATGCATGGGGGAGAGGGAGGCATGGGGGAGAGGGAGTGGGATGCATGGGGGAGAGGGAGGCATGGGGAGAAGGAGACATGGGGGAGAGGGAGGTATGGGGGAGAGGGAGACATGGGGGAGGAGGGAGTGGATGCATGGGGGAGGGAGACATGGGGGGAGGGGGAGGCACTGGGGAGAGAAGGGGGGAGAGGGAGGCATGGGGGAGAGGCGAGGGATGCCATGGGGGAGAGGGAGGTAATGGGGCGGAGAGGAGGGAATGAATGGGGAGGGAGACATGGGGGATGAGGGAATGGGGGCGAGGGAGGCATGGGGGAGGAGGGAGGCATGGGGGAGGCAGGGGAGGATGGGGGAGAGGGAGGCATGGGGGAGAGGGAGGTATGGGGGAGAGGGGGGCATACGATGCAGGCTGTGGTACAATGCAGGCTGTGGTACGATGCAGGCTGTGGTACGATGCAGGCTGTGGTACGATGCAGGCTGTGGTACGATGCAGGCTGTGGTACGATGCAGGCTAGCAGCATCGTGCCACAGCCACCTCCATGGCGTTGAGTGATGACAGGAGGGTTAGGGTTAGCGTTAGAGTTACAAGATACAAGATACTTTATTGCCACGCAACCAAGTTTGGTGGTATTTGTTTACGGTACAGTATGGTAACTCTGAGGTGACAAATATATATATATATATATATATATATATATATATATATATATATATATATATATATACACTGAGTGTACAAAACATTAGGAACAACTTCCTAATATTGAGTTGCAACCCCTTTTGCCCTCAGAACAGCTTCAATTCGTCAGGGCATGGACTCTACAAGGTGTCGAAAGCGTTTCACAGGGATGCTGGTCCATGTTGACTCCATTGCTTCCCACAGTTGTGTCAAGTTGGCTGTTTGTCCTTTGGGTGGATGGTGGACCATTCTTGAGCGTGAAAAACCCAGCAACGGTGCAGTACTTGAGAAAAACCAGTGTGCCTGGCACCTACTACCATACCGCGTTCAACAGCACTTAAATATTTTGTCTTGCCCATTCACCTTCTGAATGGCAAACTCAACAGTTTCCCGTGTGTATCAAGAATTGTCCACTACCCAAAGGACATCCAGCCAACTTGACACAACTGTGGGAAGCATTGGAGTCAACATGGGCCGGCATCCCTGTGGAACGCTTTCCACACCTTGTAGTTTCACCATCATTGTAAAAAAACCCAGTTATTTTGTTGCTTTGACAAAGTCATTTCTGAAGATTATTCTTTATTTTTTGTGTGACTAGTAATTCATTGACATCTGTCCCTCATTTTAAATGTGGACTGAACTCTCGTTTTAATTTGGTGAATCTATTCATTTTTAAATATTTTTTTTTCAGAAGAAACATTGAACATCTAGTGGTCAAATCATAGAATGAAAGCAGGTGAGCTGGTTTATCTCTTTTTGGCAATTTCCTGGTGTTTTGTGGTGGAAAACTGAGCAGGTCGAGCATAACACGTCAACCCTGTTACCCATAGATAGACAGGCTAGAAATGTATTTTATTTATTTATTTATTTTTAAGCTTGAATTAAATTGTCACTCCCTGTTGCACACAACAATCTTCCGTTTCCCCTGTCACAAAGGTGAAAGTTACACTTCTCAAAAAGCACCGAATTGGTGGAAGTACCATAAAAGTACCCTACAGTGGAGTATGAAATGCTCCATGCAGAGAGCTGCACAATATGTAACCTAGCTCTACCAGAACGACATATGATTGATTGGTATCCATGATTTTGATCTATTCAGCTGGAGAGTGATTTGTTGATATGTGTTGGGGACTGTGCTATGTCCACCTGACTCTGTGTGTGATTGCTAGATAAAGGTGTGAATTCATCTATCTACAGCGTTTGCTGCAGTAGAATTGGTTGTAGTTCACATTCTTTCCACTTGATGTCACTGTTGAGCTATATTTCGACGTTTCAGCGTCTAGTTCAGGGTTTCTCATGGTGCATCATTCTCCTTCCCGCAACAGCAAACGATAGATAGGCCTACATATCCGCACAATGCAAATAATTGTATTTAAATATTTTATGAATTGCAATAAAGAGTAGGCCTAGGCTGTAAATATTAGCCTTTATGGCCTTTGTTTTGCATTTGTTCATGATCCTAGTGTGAATAGTGTGAATAGCGTTCATGTGTTCTACTTAATGTAAAGGGAACTTCATTTCGCTGTAATCAATAGTCACCCCTAAAACACCAGGACTTGTGACTTCACATGGAATAATTGATTTTATTGTAATGCAATGGATGTATTATTTCTACATAATCAGATGTAGCCTGTATAGGCTTATGGAAAAGAGAGGACATAGGCCTAGTGGGTTATCAAGAAAAACACCCGCATGTAGCGGAACCCGTGTAGCTCAGTTGGTAGAGCATGGCGCTTGCAATGTCAGGGTTGTGGGTTCGATTCCCACGGGGGGCCCGTATGAAAATGTATGCACTCACTAACTGTAAGTCGCTCTGGATAAGAGCGTCTGCTAAATGATTAAAATGTAAAAAAATATATATATATTTTTCTATTTGATCAAATTTAATTTATTTTATTCATCCGAAACATTTGCAGGGTTGCTGATATTCTCTGGATTTAACAACGGACAGTGAATACATCGATAATGTTCATGGGAATTGTATTTTATTTCATAGAAAGAGTACAGCTTTTACTGCCTGTGGGAATATGCACTTCTTTCTTATGTGGAGGAGTTTTTAGAGGGGAAAAAACCAAGCATGCCAAGCTATTTGCTTTCATTAAGTGGTAGTGGTGTTGGATACCATTTAATCACCTATCTTGAAAAAGCTTGAACACCGTCTTTAAGTTGATAGGATATGTTGTAGTATTCGTGTAGGCTATTACACGAAATGGGATAATTCTGTAGGCCTAACGGTATGTGAAAATATGTAGAGTTGCAGCGCACTCATTCCGTAATGATTTTCGGCTGATTTTCTATGAGTAAAACATATATCACAACAGCATATACAAGTAAACAGGAAAACTATTTTATTTTCGGTTAAATACTACTACTACTACTACTACTACTACTACTACTACTACTACTAATAATAATAATAATAATAATAATAATAATAATAATAATAATATTACAAATACTTATTATTATTATTATTATTATTAATAACAATAAGTATTATTATTATTATTATTATTATTATTATTATTATTATTGGGCCTATCATGAATCTCCCTTGGTCAGGGAAATTCGACAATGCAGGCGCGTCCTCTCTCCACCCTCCTCTTGATAACAGAATACTGAATAGAAAAATAAAACACAAACCATTACATACATGCTTGAGTATTTCTTGATAACCCACTAGGCCCATACCCATGAAAACATTATTAGTTATGATTTAATCGACAAAACCCAACCCTTGTTTCATGCTACAATATTTGTTTTTATGAGGTGGCACATCGTGTTAGCCGCCCTATGTCTGTCGTTTTACCCTTTCTTGCAAACAGTGAGCGATTGTATGAGATGGGTTTTCACCATTTTGGGATCGAATTTGGCCAGTTTTCCCACAAAATCATAATTGTATACTTATAGGCTATGACAAGCTCCACATGGGTTTATGTGGTTATGCCTTTGTCACACTGAAGTTTAAACCATTATAATAAAATATAATATTGATTCATATTCTATACATACCTAAAACTCAACTACGTCATTCCCCTGCACATTGACTTCGTACGGTACTCCTTGTATATAGCCTCATTATTGTTATTTTATTGTGTTACTATTTCCTTTTTTTGTGTCCTAATTTTTCATACCTTTAACTCTGCATTGTTGGGAAAGGGCTTGTAAGTAAGCATTTCACGGTAAAGTCTACACCTGTTGTGTTCGGCGCATATGACAAATAAACATATATTTGATTTGATCCCAAATGTAATTTCTTTTAAGTTGTTATTTTGTATAAACACAGGTTCCACACACATAGATGAAAATAAAGCTATTTTATTGTCAAAGCATTCAACATGATTAGATAAACTATCAAGTAGCACATTTCACTGATTTCAGCATGAAGGACAAAACCCTGAAACTATTCCCCACTGACACAAAATATTACACTTTGTATTTCAAACAAAACATGTATTTACATTGTAACTGTATAGACTGCATCTTATTTATACCAATGAGTATTATTATACATGCACTCTGAAATATAGTCAGTCTGTCTGACGTCATATCCCAATTTGTGTCAATATTATTAAACCTTTAAAGTGAACATGAAAAAAAGTAATTGAATACTAAACCATGTAATGTAACTATTTTTATTATCATTTTCTATATATGTCTTTATATAATATAAAATTCAACTTACTGTACATTTAAATACACATATTCTTATCTTCCCTTATTTCCCAAATTGTAAGTGCTTCATAAGTTAAATAGATTCATTTCTCAAGTCAAAATTCATTTGCATACACTCAAATAAAGAAACATGACATTAGAAAAAGAAACAAAAAACAGACTGAAGGAAAATAACAACTGTCTGTGTCGAAAGTGGAAACAAGTGCTCTGTTTAAGTGGTGTATGTCCAGTCAGCCAGTCAGCCAGTCAGCCAGTCAGCCAGTCAGCCAGCCAGCCAGTCAGTCAGTCAGCCAGCCAGTCAGCCAGTCAGTCAGTCAGTCAGCCAGTCAGCCAGCCAGTCAGTCAGTCAGTCAGCCAGCCAGTCAGCCAGCCAGTCAGCCAGCCAGCCAGTCAGTCAGTCAGCCAGCCAGTCAGCCAGTCAGCCAGTCAGCCAGTCAGCCAGTCAGCCAGTCAGCCAGCCAGCCAGTCAGCCAGTCAGCCAGTCCGTCAGCCAGTCAGTCAGTAATTCCATGTCTGTCTGTCTGAGTGAACCAGATGGTAAAAAAGTTCCTCCCCATGGTCAGTGATGTGATACCCTTTTCCCACTATAGTGCCGACCCAAACCGTACTGTATATTATCTTCCCATTGTCCTTTATGGTCTGTCCCAGTAACTTCATGGATGACCAAGCCATACTGTGCTGGCTCGGCTACAGTATATATTCTTTCCGGCAAAGGGTTCCTTCACCTGATGCAATTCCGTAACCCGGCCAGCTCAGCTCAGCTTGGCTCAGTTTGGCTCGGCCGAGAAGTGTGAAAACGGTTTGTTATTGATCTAAAAGTCAGTTGTGGGAGGTCATGTGACGCGAGAGGTGGTGCCTCTCCCTGAACGACTCGTTACAGATTGGACACTTGAGTTTCTCCTCACGCCTCCTCTTGACCATCGGCTCCATGGCCAACTCCTTCTTATGGTGCGACCTCATGTGGTACACCAGGTCAGAGGTCATCCTGAAGGAGGCGTTGCACTTGGCGCACCAGTTCTGGGCGGGCAGACACAGAGAGGTGAAGGATGGTGGTAGTAAGGTTAGCGCTGAGGGCATCTGCAGCTGGATGGGGCCCTGGCTCTTGGGCCAGAAGGCTGTGGCAGCAGCCGCCGCGTAGAGGAACGGGCTCTGCTTGGACATGACGCCCGGCACGGGGCAGTTGGTGCTCAGCTCGGCGCCGTGGAGTTTGGCGGCCAGGTGGTCTGCCTGGTAGAGTCTGGAGGAGGAGATGGTGTCGCCCACCGCCGGGTGGCAGTCCAGGAGTTTGGACGTGGTCATGACCAGAGGAGAGATCTGGGAGAAGGAGGAGGTAGAGTGGCGGGAGGGTTGGCTGAAGGCGCTCTTCCTTTCCCCACTGTTCCCCCCACCATGCTGGGCTACGGAGGTGAAGGCGCTCCCTAGAGGAGAGGCCTCCATGCGGGTCTGGGACTGGGCAGGCTGGGTCTCCGACAGAACCTGCCTGATGTTAAGATGCTTCTCCTGGGCAGGGTTGCTGCCGGGGCTGGGCCGACCTCCGTCCTTGTTTTCGGCGTTGGAGCTCTGGAGGTTTTTGCTGCTGCTGCTGTTACCATGCGTCTTTAGGCTCTGTGGAGACTTCTTGACCTCAGTGAAGGCGCTGCGTTTACCCTCACCACCCGACTCAGTGGATCCCGACCCTGGTGGGGAGAACGTGGGCCCTCGTCTGTTCTCCTCCAGGCCGTAAGCTCCCCGGTAGTTCTGTGCCGAGCTAGCCAGCTCCTCCTTAGACTTGAGGGACTGAGACAGACTCAGAGAGGCCCTGCTACCGTCCCTGTCCCTCTCTCTAGCCCTATCCTCTACCTCTGAGAACTTCCTCTTCCCAGAGCTCTCGCTGCGGATCTCAGCCTCGCGGTCGCTGGGCGGGCTAGTCCGGCTGTTCTCTAGGTCCCTGGCTAAGTTATGGAAGTCTGTGGAGGGTTTGGCGCTGTCCCCTTCCGAGCGGCCCAGTTTAGGGCTAGCTCTGGTGGGTGTGGTGGTGGTAGTGTTGGGGTTAGGGCGCTCGGTGCTTGGCTCCTTACTGAGGACCTCTTCGTCCACATCGCCCGCCGCCATGCTCTGTAGTCTCTTGGTGCAGCGGAACCTCAGGTGGGCCAGGAAAGGGAACTCAAACTGGAAGCGCTGGTTGCAGTCAGGACACGAATAGGGAGCCGACCCTGGAAATGGAGGGAAAATATTGTCAGTCATTCAGAAAGAAGAAAAACAGTACTGTAATGTTTTGTTATAGCCACAATAGGACTATGAGCTATTGATTATTAGAAATAATAAATAGGCCTAAAGAAGATTTATTACATGTATTTTCTGAACAAATTAATTTACCCTAAAATTAAATGATACTGTGGGTGTAAATGATAGGACATGTACAATATTACCTAATTAAACAATAACAGTAGGGTTATTACACTCTTGAACATGAGCTTCACGTCAACAGTATTCCTCAAGTTTTGTTTTATGATGGATTATTGCCGCAAAAGGTAAATGCAAACGCCTATATAAAAAAGCCTAGTACCAGGTAACGCCTATATAAAAAAAGCCTAGTACCAGGTAACGCCTATATAAAAAAGCCTAGTACCAGGTAATGCTACAATTGCTGCTCACCTTTGGTCTTGCCTGGCGCTTTACCGGCGCTAAGCAGCAGCAGCTCAATCAGGTCTTTCCCGTACCAGACCAACAGCTCCTCGTCCTTCACGATCCTCCGGAGAGACCGGTAGAACAACTGTCCGTTCTTCACATAGGCCTCGAGGTTCTGCTCGTCCCGGTCCCGCGCCGACTGCACGAGCCGGAGCCACATCAAGCCCTCAGACGTGCTGTTGGCTGCTGACGTGTCCACCTGCGCGTCAAACCGTGACAGAGAGCGAGGCAAATCCGTTAGTTGGACCCAAACGACAAATCCGTGCGCCAACATTCATTCTAACCCTTACGCATAGGCTGTCCATTTTTTATTTTTTTAATAGGCAATTTTTCACGTGTTTTGGCTGTGCAACTATATGCATTATACCTGCATGCTATCTTGTAAGATAACACCTCAAATAGGTTCTAATACATATAGTATACTGTGTCACACCAATGTCATGAGAAATATAAATGCTAAACCATATTTGTTATCTTATTTGTGAAATGGGATCAACAATGATAAATCAACCATGACAGACAATTTAATTCAGTCTGAAGAAGGAGATGTAATAAAACAGTAAATAAAGAATATTATCAATATTATCATTCTAGAAAATCACAATATTTGTCTTTCCTTACCCTGAATATGTACGGCGCAGTTCGTTTGTCCGTTGATTTGAGTGCTACGAAGGCTATGCTGTCATACAACGACGTGTGGCTCAAAACACAAGGCCCGAAAATAGCATTTTCTGGAATGTCACATGTGGTGTAGACGCTGGTGAATATATCCGTTAGACACTGCTGCACGGCTTTGGCGTCGCCGTCCCAAACCAACTTCTGTGAGCTGGATTCCTCCATCGTTGACTGATGATTGCGAACAGAACAGACAAAAAGAAAGAGATAGAATGAATTAAGACGCAATATACAAATGTCTAGATGATGATGATGAGGTCAAATAAATTGGCACTTCATGAGAGGGTTGGCTAAATGCATGGAGCCAGCTGTCAAGGCCTAGGAAAGGGAATTTTTGTGGGGCCGGTCGTTTTAATTAATTGAAGTCTATTGTAGGATGATAGTGGCCTATCAATTTCAAAGAGCATGGTTGGTTGCCTATTTTCCGCGGTATTCCCAGATGCTGATGAAATAGCTGTAAATTGTGAGAAAATGAATGCATGGTTCTAAACGGAATAGTAACAATGGTGTTAATTATATTAATAATTATGATAAACATAAACAACCAGAACAATAATACAATAATAATACAATAATAATACAATAATAATACAATAATAATACAATATCAATTTGATGACAATATATTTATATATTATTACTGTCTCTAAATTATTATTGTTTACAGGCCTAATATTAATTATATTTGGCAGCGATGTCTTACTTCAATTAGGCATATTATTATTACTATTATTACAAAGGCTTTACTATGCTGGAAGTGCAAACTGGACTGTACATTCATCTCAAACCCTAATTTCTAAGTGTATAACCTAATTATTTAAATTAGCCTCTGGAAGAAGAAAAAATAGCAATAAGAAACGGTAAGGTCCGTATAAAATCGAAAGAGCATATCGAATGGATTTGGAGTGGACTGTCAAAGTCACTGGTTTCATGTCAGATAACCTTTCACTCCATTCTACACGCTCTCCGAACGTATGTCCCCTCATTACCATAATCCACCACGTTCCCTCTCGAGACTGTAATTAAGGCAGCACGCAGAGTGTATTTACGGGTGACCAGTTTTTCTGGCCTCACTGAATTATGCAGCTGTGATCTACCTTTGCTTTGCCACTTGTTCAATTCAATTATGCGTATAGGCCGGTGTAAACACATCGGGTGGACACTTGCATGCAGGCTAAAACAGCCGTGTGTGTCTAGAGGAATATCTGGTAAATAATAATAACGATTTAACTTCGTATTATCAAATTCATTTTATTTGTGCATGTTATTTTATGTCATGTTATAGGCTTATCTTAATTTTATGCACATATGCTAATGTGTTTATACATGTGTTCTTCTAAAGCGTGCTACCTTGGCTTATAATAATATGCCATTTAGCAGACGCTTTTATCCAAAGCGACTTACAGTCATGCGTGCATACATTTTTGTGTATGGGTGGTCCCGGGGATCGAACCCATTACCTTGGCATAACAAGCGCCGTGCTCTACCAGCTGAGCTACAGAGGACCACTTCTCGACCCTTCACAATATAAAATACATGCGTGTATATCTCAAGAGATTATGAACTAATACCTACTTAATAATATTTGTAATGTAATGATAATTTGGCACGTAAACATGTAATGACAATGTTATAAAACATTGAAACGTGTTGATACATTGCACATGCCTAAATGTCACCATATCACGATGTTGCTCCCTGTCTGTCTGCTGTCTGATGATGGATCATTTGTTTTCCATTCGTTTGCTTATAAGCAAAATGCTGAGCCTAAAAGCAAAATGAACAGCTGTCTGCATGCAGATCAAACAAAATGATCCTCTTTCAATGACGCTTTATAGTGAAACATTATTATTCAGGAAACGTTGCGGCCCTCGAACCAAAGTAACTTTTCTCTTCAGCTGCATCGGTGGAGAGAAAATAGTTTGGAGCTATAGCCTACCATCCTGTTCTCCTCTTTAGCCGATTCTATATCAAAGCCACTTTGACAAAATGCAACCCTTCAACTAAAGACCACCGCTTGCAGAAAAGCAATTTTTCGCTCCATCTCCTATATAACCCAGTCTTTTGTGACTTTAAAGGTCGCTCTCTCACAAGGGAAAACCACACAAAAGGTCCAATGAATATGCATCTGAGCTAAATGAGAGAGAATAGCAGGCGGAATGTATGCGCATCCATAAAATGGATGAGACCAACCCATTCAACCTTCTGCCTTCTATTCCAGAGCGTGTTTTACTCCTAAATCTGGATGCCTTGTCAGTCTAAAAACTGCCCTAAATCAACGCAAGAGCTGAATTGCCGATTTGTCCCCTTGCCCCAACATCTGCGGAGCTCTGTCCCCAGCACTACACGATACCCCATTCACGGGATGCTGCCTTGGCTTCTGCTTTGTGGCGGCGCCCGCCTGTCTTTCTGTCGCTGCAAAACAAACCCTGCATTACGCTCATACAAATACAGGCTCGGGCTACCTACCTTTTTGTTGACAATAAATAATAATCCACCAAAGTGATGCTGGAATCAATATGACGCCTTGGAGAGCAGGTTTCGATGCGTCCTCCGAGTCAGTACATGTCCCTGTGTGGTCGTTGAAAGTGACAGTGGTGCCGCTGATATCGCCCTTTTGCTGAGAGGCAGAGAGAGAGAGAGAGAGAGAGAGAGAGAGAGAGAGAGAGAGAGAGTGAGCAGAGAGGGAGAGAGATGCGTGCAGAAGGGGTGCGATGCACTGGCTGACTGGCACACACACACACACTTTTTGTTTGCAGCACATAATCTGCCCAATGAGGCGTGTCACTCGCCGTCTCCTCCCTTTAACTCTTCACTGGCCGACTGTCATTTGATGAGATGCACAGGCAATAGAGGCTACAGCTACAAACATCGTGCCATAACCTTTTTAATTATTATATCATTGTTTCAGTTTGCGGGAGCACTACATAAAGCCATTCATATAACATGTATAGGAGACAAATTAAGGTTTTTTAAACAAACTGGCTCTCAAAGTAGGTTTGTGTGTTTTTTCTTCTAAATTGTTCATATATAATGGATTGTAGCTACACCTATGCCCTATTATTTATGTTAAGAGGTTTTATTAGGGCTAACTATTATATTTTTTATATATATATTTTTATCAGCCTATTTTATTATTATTATTATTATTATTATTATTATTATTATTATTATTATTATTATTATTATTATTATATGACTAGCTTATTGATGTTCAAGTAAAGTCCGCAATATGAATGTCCCATGAATGATATGGATATCAATAAGCTAGTCTCCTTACCATTACTAGCATCTGAAGTGTTAGGCTATTTCCACAGCTATGGCGCTTTCCCTTGCCGGTAGGCGGGAGCCTCCTGGACACCTGCCTGGCTCGCGCCCAGCGTCACGAGGAAAGGCCGGGCATCGTCGTTATGGAGACGGTGGGGAGCGGCTCGAGCCGTTCCACTGCTGGGCCAACCGACTGATGATGATCATCTGTGTTAGAGAAAAAAAAATGTGTTTAAGGCCAGGCTATAGTGAGTAGCTTTAGCCTACTATGTGATGTTACTATCTGCCATGTCCTATGGCTGGTTCATTTGTAGGACGCCAGCGGTTCATTTGCATTCCCTGGCTGAAAGGTTGGTTTTGAACCAGCTGACCTTAACAGAGGAAAGAGCAGCAGCCTGCAGAACTCTGGTGGTCTGAACAAAGATGTTGCATTTAGCAATTTAGTGACATTGTAAAATGTGACAAAGCACACATAGTGTCAGGAAAACAAAGCTGCGACGTTTCATGATGTTAGATCACTGCCTTCAGCACTGGGCTAAATACTTCCGCCCTAGATTCCAAAGTTTCAGAAGTTGTCAGAATTAATTGACCAGAAAGAATTCACTTATGAGCATCCATCCTTCCATCCATCCATCCTTCCATCCATCCATCCATCCATCCATCCATCCATCCATCCATCCATCCATCCATCCATCCATCCATCCATCCATCCTTCCATCCATCCATCCATCCATCCATCCATCCATCCATCCATCCATCCATCCAACCTTCTGTGCATTTAGTCTTTAGGTAGTTATTACGCACATGAGCCCATGTAACATATTCTACATTTTCAAGCTTTATCTTTATAGAACAAAGATTGTAAGGAAATCAACCATCTGCACATTCATACCCATAGCAGGCGCACATCTGTATTCTAATGTCTAATGCTGTTCTATTCTATTCTGTTCTATTTTATTATTCTGTTCTATTCTATTCTATTATATTCTGTTCTATTTTATTATTCTGTTCTATTCTATTCTATTATATTCTATTATATTCTGTTCTGTTCTATTCTATTATGTTCTATTCTATTCTATTATGTTCTATTCTATTTTATTCTATTCTGTTCTGTTCTATTCTATTCTGTTCTATTCTATTATGTTCTATTCTATTCTATTCTATTCTATTATATTCTGTTCTATTCTATTATGTTATATTCTATTATATTATATTCTGTTCTATTCTATTCTGTTCTATTCTATTCTATTCTATTCTACTCTATTCTATTCTATTCTATTCTATTCTATTCTATTCTATTATGTTCTATTCTATTCTATTCTGTTCTATTCTATTATGTTCTATTCTATTCTATTCTATTCTATTCTGTTCTGTTCTGTTCTGTTCTATTCTGTTCTGTTCTATTCTATTCTGTTCTATTCTATTCTGTTCTATTCTATTCTGTTCTATTCCTTTCTATTCTATTCTGTTCTGTTCTATTTTGTTTTGTTCTTTTCTATTCTAGTGTTGTATTTCTGTATTTTGAGAGCATGTGGTTTCAATCTGGTTGTAAGCCTGATGGATTCCGGGGCAAGGCATTGGTTTGGAAGGAGTGATTTCATGTGATGTAACTTCACCTGAACTACCTCTGACCCTGCAGCTGATAAGGCAGAGGTGGCACTGTCATACAACTCATGTGAAGGAAATGAACTGGAGCACACAGTGATATTCCACTCTATTCATTTTACCCCAATTTATATGAACAAATCCTTAAACAAATAATTGAACAGTAATTGGTAAAAAAATAAAATAATAATCAGATAGGGCTAGTCTCAGGATAGCTGAAGATATGGTGATGCTGCTGTTGCTGCACTCCAGCCTTTTTTGAGCCTTGTTAATTTACATGACGTAACAATATCCTAGCTGACAAACAAACGGGTACATCAAAACCTAAAGCATGAAACATACTGCAATTTGTATCGGTCCGTTCACCATATCAGCTCCACTGGCCGGTGAACTCAGACTGGGAGTGCTGATCCGGGATCAGATCCCTCATGTCCACGTAATCTTAGTCATTATAACGTTGAAGGCGAAACTGATCCTAGATCATCATTACAATTCTGAGACACTTTTTTGAATTTGGCTCAGACTTAGTAACACAACCTGATGCCCAAAGACAGCGGTAGTGTAAAATACTGTATGTCATATTGCCTAGACAATGGTGTCATAAACAGATTTAGAATACAGCTCCGATTATATAGCTCTGTCTATTTCTCTGAGGTTTAATCTCAATGTCACCAACCTGCATAAATAAAGGTTGAATATATTTATTTCCCACTATCGCGCCTTACTACAATCAGATAAACCAAATGATTAACAAAAGCTATATTTAATAATATTTATCATAATTGTTATTATTTCTGACAGCTATTTTGTTTCATAATTTTGTTGGACCTATCTGGATAATTACAGCATAAAAGGTTCAAGTGTCAACTGGGCATTACCGTAGAATTACAGTAGTATTTTATTAGAATACAGAAGGCTATAGAATAGCATTTCTATAGAATTATAGAACTATAGAATATAATTGCTATAGAATTATACAACTGTAGAATAGAATAGCTATAGAATTATAGAACTATAGAATATAATTGCTATAGAATTATATAACTGTAGAATAGAATAGCTATAGAATTATATAACTATAGAATATAATTGCTATAGAATTATATAACTGTAGAATAGAATAGCTATAGAATTATGGAACTATAGAATAGAATAGTAGAATACTACAGATATGTGGTATCTCATTCCTCAGAGCAAAACTGCAGTGACATAATTTTTTATTTATTTACATGAAGTCATTGTCTGTATATATTCTGGGGCAGAAACAGATTGATGTGTTCTTAGTAGTACATCTCATCCTGCTCAGTGCAGTCCTGCTCAGCCAAGCATGATAAGGCCCTGTTCCCATACACTGGCTGAATTAGAGACACAAAGCCTGCCCAATCAGTCGCCATCTGCTGGGACCAGAGCACCACATCATGGTGTTAGAGGAGGCAAGGGGCTGGCCCGGCCTGGACAGAATGGCTGTGTGTGTCCCAACCCCCCCTCACACACACACTCATTGTTTTACCACAAATGGCCCCATTTAATACTAGTGGTTTAAGAGCACCTGCTGCCTCCACTATATACACACCAACACACACACACACAGACACACACAGAAACACAGACACAGACAACATAAACACACAAACACACACACACACACACACACTTTTGTGTCAAATGCAGCACGTGGCCCAGCCAAGGAGGACAATATTCATAAATGCTAATTGTAGACTGATTGTGAGGTCACCCATTCACAGTGACAACCCACTGGACACACACTGGTTGAATCAATGTTGGTTCCACGTCATTTTAATAAAATTACGTTGAACCAACGTGGAATAGACATTGAATTGACATCAGTGCCCAGTGGGAGGTGTCATTTGTCAACACAATGTCAACAAATCTGAATAATGTAAATCAATATAATGGGGATAAAATAGCTTTGATTATTGTATTAATGAATTGCATAATCTGACATTATTAAACATATTTGTTAAAACCATTGTTTTCCTATTTTCTTAGGTCACCTAGTTTATGTAAATGAGTTATTGGTGACAACACCCTTCTGATCCCATGACAAGACAAAATGTCACACACACACACACACACACACACACACACACACACACACACACACACCACACACACACACACACACACACACACACACACACACACACACACACACACACACACACACACACCACACACACACACACACCCACACACACACACCACACACACACACACACACACACACACACACACACACACACACACACACACACACACACACACACACACACACACACACACCTCACACACACATACACACACACACCTCTCACACACACACACACACACACACACACACACACACACACACACACACACACACACACACACACACACACACACACACACACACACACACACACACTAAGGGGGAGATCATATACTGGCTGTCATAATTACAATAGGGATTAACATTACAACAACAGGATCCCCATTAGCCGACTCCAATGGTGACAGCTAGTCTTACTGGGGTCCGACATAACGAAAAAGACATTACAGAAAAAATACTTCACAATTTACGTACATGTAAAAACATTAGCATGTAACGTGTGTGCATCTATCAGTTACACATACATGTCAGTACATACACACAACAAGTAGGTCACATGGGGGAGAGGCATTGTAACATGAGGTGTTGCTACATTTGTTTTTGAAACCAGGTTTGCTGTTTTAATGGGGATTAATTAAAAAAGATTTAATTGTTATTGGT